AACCTCTAGCAAGAATCTTCCCAGACTGAAATCCCAGTTCCCAAGTCAGCCAGCCACAACACTGTGAATTCCTCAGGGAGGTGCCACTCTCATCTTCTTGTACCTCCCATGCTCCTCCGGCGAGCTAAGAAAATGTTTTTCTCCCTGAGCCTGGCCTTCATAATTCCATTCCATCATAACTTTGTACATATTCCTTTTTTAACTTATTTGCAAACAGAATTTTTTAAAAATTAGGTCATAAAATCATGGCAGAAATAACTATTCCATGTTCTGAATGCGGTAGAAAATTTTTGATAAGAACTCATTGCCTGTGGCTCAAAATGTTCTTTGTGTGTGTAATCTATTCCAAAACAAATAGGAAACTTTTTTCTTCATTCCAGCTTAACTATCAATTAGAGATGCAATGCACGGAATTGAATTGAAGACGCCGTCAGTCCTTCCTGGAAAGCAAAACAGTTACTGTCTCTTGATCTACTTCATTTTTTGCTAAATAACCCATTCAATAAAAATAGTGAACTGCAACTTGAAATACAAAGCCTTACTCAGAAGCTGGAGGATGAAAACGAATTGGAAACAACACAATGGAGATGGGCTCCAGACACAGCCAAACCAACATTTCTCTAGCAAAGATCTCCACTTTCTGCAAATTATCCAAACTTCAAAAGTTCTCTGAACTTTTAACGTATGCCTCATCAGCAAACTGTGACACTCAGACCATGAAAGACCAACATACTAAATGAAAGCTTGTCTCAGGGATATGGATTGTCACAATTTTGCTAAAACCTCTGGTTGCAAATAAATGTATTTACTTACTAACATGCTAAATGTGGAAAAAGTGTGTATAAATTTAATCCACTTATATTGATGCCCTTATCACACAACAAAATGTAAGATATATTTATATTCTTCTGCAAGTCAATTTGCATATGCTGTTATCTATTTTCTTGTTACTGCTACTTATATGATGTCTTCAATGTTATTTATTATATATTTTCATTCAAAATGATAAATGCTCTTTGCATTAAAACAACTGTAAAAATGTGCACTCCTTTGTTTATCTTTATAGCAAGGCACTGAAAATAGTAGTCGTTAGTTTTCTCAATCTGCTGAAAAGGTGGTAAAACTTCAGTTGAATAAAAACGGTCCGTGTTGAAAATTCTGGGATTCCTCTGGGATCCCACAGCAGACAAGAAAAGCAATCAAGTTTTCTGGAGATGAGGATGGAAGGGGATTCCCTGTCTGATGAACTAACACACAGAAAATAAATGTCAAAATTTTCAGAATAGTAGAAAATGCAACAGGATATCCCATAGTGTTGTTTCTTAAACACCCAAGCATAATATGACATATATCAGGGCAAATTATTACTATCCCAAAATGGCAGACTAAAAGGACTGCCATTTTGCTCTATAACACTCTTGAGTGTTTCTTTCTTTTGTTGTTGGTGTTGTTTTGCTTTGTTACTGTCGCTTGATTTTATTCCTGATTTATACATATATATTCATATATCGATATATTATATATATTTAGTTCATAAAACAGAGAAAGAATGTGCCAACCAGGCCAACCTATAACAATACCCAATTATACATTTCTTCCCTCGGCCAACCAAGTGATGCCATCCAGGTTGGGTTGCAATGTCTGGAGTCTGGGGGTCTGGATGGGGAAGAACAGGCTTCAGCTCGACCTTGCCAAGACCAAATGGCTGTGGGTTTTGAAGGCCCCACGGAAACTTTCTATCTTTATCTCTGAATCGGGCAGCACTTCCCCAGAGAGAGCTAATGCAATTTGTGGGTCCTTCTGGACTAATGGCTCCTGCTCAAAGAACAGTGGCAGTTGTGGCTAGGACGGCCTTTGCACAGGTTTGCATTTGGCACCAACTGCTCTGTTATCAAAGTGGGAAGGAGAGAAACATGGTTTAAGTCCAAAACAAGCAGAAAGTATGCCCAAGTGGCTCAAGCAAATACCATATTTTTCCATCAATAAGAC